CCCCATGGAAAGAGACCTTCAGATACACAAGAAGCCCAAAGTAGGAGTGAGAAGCTTGAGGTGCATGTTGATATTGAGAACTATCGTGTGAGGGAAATAACTGAGGTGCAGATTGAGGAAACTTCAGAAGCTCATGTTCTGAAGCCGGATGTAGTTATGGAACCAGAGCTTGTTGTTCAAGTTCAGGAACCAAGCCTAGAAGCTTTGGCTGAGATTTCTAAACATCAGGAAATCCAGGAACCAAATGAAGCTGAAGAGTCACAAAACACATCCTCCATTTTTGTTGAAGCTCTCAGTGTTCCTCTTACTATTGAGCCCGTGAACCAGTCCATGGAGGAAAATGCTGCTTATGACACTATTGATGAACCAGCTATCACAAAAGTATCAGAGGCAGTACCAGAACAACTAGTCTGTGAGGCTTCTGTATATGAGATTCCAGCAGTTGAGTTGGTGAACCACAAACAAATGACTAATGAAGCTGAGATCAATGAAGAATGTAAAGAGGAATCTATGGAAACCTCAGGTACCCCTTTTTTTTTTTTTTTTGACATGCAATACCTTTCAAAACTTTGGGGTCAGTAAGAGTGTTTTTTTTTTTTTTTTTTTTTTTACTATAATGAATTATGCAGCTTTTAATTGCTTTAAATTAATCAAAAGTCACTAAATATATATAATGTTACAAAATATTTATTTTTTAAATTAATGCTGTTCTTTTGAATTTTCTCTTAATCAAGAATCCTAAAAAAAATTATTTGGGTTTCCACAAAAATATTCATTAGCTCAACTTTTTCAACATTGATAATAAAAATATTTTTTTCTTGAGCACCAAATCAGCATAATTTCTGAAGGACCATGTGACACAAGAAATTCAGCTTTGCCTTCACAGGGAAAAATGTTTTAAATTGTAATCTTTCACAAGGTTACTGTTTTTACTGTATTTTTTAAACTAATAACTGCAGTCTTTGTGAGCATAAGAGACTTTCAGAAATGTTTAAAAAAGTTCTGACCCCAAACTTTTAAAATGTATTGTAATTGTTTATGACTGATAATTGTAGTGGTAGGAAGTTAATGTCTAAAATGGATTTATATTTTAGATTTGGATGCCTTTGTGGAACAGCATTTATTTGGCCTGGATCAGTCTCCAACTTTAACCCGGTCCAGTATTAGGGAGGGATCACTCAAAAGGTGCTTGTTAATTACTTGCCCATCATGATTTCTGGGGTGCTGCTTTAATATGTTTCTCATGTCCTGCCTTTTTACCTTTTTTGACTTTTGTCGGTTCTGTCTACACCCTATAGTGAACCAGGTTGTGACATTAAGGAAGTTCAGCCCACTTCTGAGAATGCAGCAGATCTGAAAACACAAACATCAGAACCTGCTACCTCAGAGTCCAGATGTAAGTCCATCTCAGGTTTAACATTATAGTCTTTAACGTTAAACAACATGGTAATGATCCAGATCTAACCTCCATATAATTCTCCAAATAGCTGTAGTGAGCTTGAATGACACTGATGAGCTCTCCAGTGCCGAATTTTCAGAAGAGTCAGAGGATGAAGAAGAGTCTGGAGATGAGATGGTGGAGGACTCAGGTAGTGAGGTTGAGATTATAGATGAAGTAAAGGGTAATGGCAGGAGTAACCACCAGCCTGCTCCTGCCCTTTACATGGAGGAACTCCCACCACATGAGCAGTACCTCCAGGATCAAGCCAATGCGGTGCTGTCACTGGTCACACCTGAGGGACAGCTGAAAGTGCGTGCATCACTTGAATCTTATTTTGATGTTAAAACACTGACCTGTTGTACATGTACTTATTCTCCCATTGTTTTTTTTGTTTTTTTTGCTCTGCAGGTTCTAGACACTGACATGCCAGAAGGTGAAGTGGTAATGGTTGGCCTTGGCCCTGCAGATCTAGATGAGGAAGATGCAATGTGTTATACGGAGCTTAAGCCATCCACCACTCTCCTGGTGCCTGTAGAGCTGGCTGAGGAGCAGCATACACATCTTGTAGATGGAGGAACTTTACAGACCCTCTGCAGTGCACCAGATGGTACAATGCCAGAAGAGTCCGATGGCTTCACGCTCGTGCTTGATCCAGAAGTAGAGGAACTGCCTGACACTTCAGAGTTGGACCATAATGCAGCATTACTACCTCTTCTTGAGCCAGAAGAACCTCAGGATGTGGAGAATCAGCTTACAACTAACTCGGAGGTTGTCATCTTGGATCATACAATTCAAGTTACAGAAAACAGATTGGAAGACGTAAAAGACTTGGTATCAGACATTGAACCTGTTGTCATTGGTGTTCCTAAAATTGAAGACCAACCAGCTGAGGTCCTCCAGACAGTTGAACAAATAGTCACAACAGAAGCAGAACCTTCTCTTCAAGAAACAAAAGATCTTTCCAATGGTGACAATCTAGATTCTGGTTCTCGTGTCATGCAGGAAGAATCACATACTCCTATTCATGGGGAATTATTCAAGTCTTCTCTGCTAGAGAAAGCCTTGCCTTCAGAAGAGCTTTTAGGTAAGGTCAATGAAGTTTCTACATTGGACACAGAGGTGTCAACCATTGCAAAAGACATTATTACTGAGTCTAACCAAATAGACACTACACCTTTATTGGCTGGAGAAGTTGAGGAACTTTCCACAACCAAACAAATGGGAAGGCCAAAGTCGCCAGGAAGGCCAAAGTCACCAGGAAGACCCAAGTCACCTGCCAGAACAAAAGTTGAAAGATCTGGAAAAGATTTTGAGGAAGTTTTGGAGAACATTAAAGAGGTGCCATGCAGCCCGTCACGGAGAACTAGAAAAACCGTAGCATTCCCTGTACCCAACTTTGATGCCGAAAAGGATCTTACTGAAGAGGAACAAATGGATTCTCAAGTACCTTCAACACCAAGACGTGTTACAAGGAGTGGCAGGCAGCTCCAAGACTATCAAGTTCCTGTTACACCCAGAAGAAGCTCAAGAAAAGCAGATGCAGAACAGCGTTCTAATGAGAACGACCAAGACATGCCTTCTGAGAAAATATCAAAGCCTGCAAGTCCGGCACGCAAGACCCCACAGAAAGCTACACCTAGGAAAGGATCCAGAAGAACCAGGAGCACAGTGGTTGATGATAATGATGATGGTGAAGCTCTGTCCACTGACGACTCAGAAACACAGGTCAGACACAGTACCAAAAAATCCCAAGCACCAATCATTGAAGTTCCAGAAGCTCATCAAGAAGTCCCAGAGGAGACGATACAGCCTGCCAAAGCACGTAGTAGTCCTAGTAGGGTTACACGCAAGTCTACCAGAGGGCTAGCTTTAGAAAGTTTCCAAGATACTGCAGAAGAAGCCACAACTCTAAATCAACCTCTTCGAACTCCTCCAAGAAGCAGGAGAAAGACAGTGGCTGGCACTGCAGAAAAAGTGAACAATGCAACCTTTATTATTGATGATGCACAACTTCAGAGTGTTTCAAGACGACTTACAAGAAGCCGGCACTGGAATCAAGGTGAGGATCTTGACAAAGAAAGACCTGATTTGACTCCTCTGAAAGTGGAGACTGAAGCTAAACAAGCTGATGCCCTTGTAGAGCGACTCAAAGACGAGGAAGCCAGGGAGGAGAGTGTTCCTGTTGTAACTGAAATTATACGTGCCAAGAGAAGACCCACTAGATCAGCAGCACCTCCATCACAGAATGAAACGCAAACGGCAGACATTGAAGAATCAAAATTGGTGGTGTCCGATGAAATACAGGAACATGCAAGCAAGTCACTTGCAAGCGCTAGACGTACACGAGCAAGCAAGGTATCAGAACAAAACTCGATGGCTGTCGACGAATCAGTTACTCCCATAGCTGACCTGAAAAGAACAAGAGGTAGTCAATATTTTAATGCCTTGTTTTGCAGTAATTTACAACACTTTAATATGCCTTTAATCCAATTCATCTGCAATCTTTTCATTTTAGGAAGGAGAAAAGGAACTGTTGTACGAAATGAAGTTGACGTTCCAGAGGTTTTGTTGTCGTCTCCTGTGCCTCAAACACAAAGCTCAGGAGGTGAAGGTGATTCTCAATCCAAAGCGGTAAGCAGCTCTTCTATAAAGTTTGAGTACCAAAGCAGCTTTCATTTGTGCTTCATCACACTTTAAGCTTCATTAATTCTTCCATTTTTTGTAGGACAATGGCCCTGTAGATGGCGTTGCAGTTGAAACTGAGGTTATTAAGCCCAGAAAGAAGAGGACAACCAGGTGAATGGCCCATGTTGCACAAAGTCCTATTGATATTGTAATATAAGAAGCATGGTTCTAATCAAAGCAGGTTTTTGCATTTTTGGGCTACAATCTTAATCTGCCTGTCTGAGTAATTGAGTAATGTGTTGGTTGTGCATCACTTTGCTTTATTTTGATTATCTTACCCTAATTATTTTCTGTCATCTTTTTAAAAGAACAAAAGCTGCTCCTGAACCTCCACCTCCTGTTGAGATCAGTTTTCTCTCTCCCCTCGCCAGTCCGGCCGAACTGATCGCTAGAACTGAAAAGAGAACGGAAGAAAAGGAAACCCCTTCGCTGAGGATGAACCTACGCCGCAAACGCATGATGGATGCCATTTTTCCTAAACCCGTAACAAGGAGGAAGAAGCTTTGATTGTGAACGGTTTAATTTGGACTCATTTCCCAATTTGATTTCTTTTTCTGCTCTCCTTACTTCCTAAGAGCTCTACATCCTGCTGTTTTCTAATTAAGATAATCAGTGGATAATGTTTGGAATAAGCATCTAATTTGGGATGAATAATTTTGTATTATAAATTATGCTGTTTACAGTAAGGAACACTGAGGGACTTGAGCACCAAAAAAAGAGAGGTTTAGTTTTTAAATGTGTTTCTACTAATTGATGCAAATGTAAATAGCCTTTTAGGTATGTTATAAATAAAATTTGATACGTGTGTTATTTTGTTACTTGTTTTGTTTACAGGAAAGATTGTGCAACATGTAAAGTCAGATCAAACAATTATAAGGTTTATGGTTGTATCATATAGGTGGATACTTTACACTGGTTGAACGTGTAATAAAATCATCCATATTACATGGATGGACTAATTGCTTTGATGGTCTTAAGCTGGTGAACACAGCGTTTTGTTCATTGCAGACAATAATGTACATTTATTTTATTTTTCTTCAAACGCATCAGTTTTATTTTGAACAGCATTGTGGACTCATTTGTAATGCCTGTTTGCTTTCAAATACAGAACAAGAATTTACAATCTTTGATGTATTGTAGTTCTTCATAGAGGTACTGATTAGACAATTTTTACCACAAGTGTTTTCCTGCAAAAACGTGAAAAACATTTAAATGATTATTGTAACCAAGATGCAATACATGTATATTGCTTTAATGCTATTTATAGAGGGTTGTAATGGTGTTCTGTGTTCTTTACCAGCCCAAGTCAAGTCTGTAAATCTTAATTATGTGCAATAGCAGTAACGGCTATGTTTGCCTTAGCAGTTGCCAGTAATAACCAGCTGTTAAATACTAGGACAAGGAATTGTTCATCTAAAAAATGTCGCCACAATGACCTAAATGAGAAAGAGCACTATTTACCTCCATTATTAGAGCTTGGAGACTGGAAGTGATCTTTAGAGAAGCCAAGGCTACTGTATTATTCATCTGGCTGGGCCCTGGTAGAAAGAGAGAGTAACAAAGTGCTCAGGTTTCATTCACCCTGTCGCTCTGGCACTCATTCTGTGTTTTCTGTGTCCAGTGTATTCACGTGAGCATGAGGGCGAGGGGAATGGAAATGGCCAGCAAGGACTGTGTGAAAGTGGCAGTCCGGGTCAGACCCTTCAATAAGGTTAGTGCAGCTAGATCATCTCAACTGCAAAGATGTAGTGAGCTGTGCTTGAATTTGTTTTAAGGTTAATTTGATAAGCTTTTATTTGGATGTCCTCTATAACAATGCCTATTTGAAATGGAAGAACAGCTTTAAGCCTTTTAAAATTCAAGCTTTTTCTTATACAGAGGGAGCGGGATGCAGGTAGTCGCTGCATTATCTCAATGACCTCCAACAATATCAGTATTCAAGACCCTCGCAATCCGCAGAACAGCCGCACATTCACTTTTGACTTCACTTACTGGTCTCTCAGTGGCTTTAGTAGGAATAAAGATGGTCTGTTCGTACCTGAGGAGACAGGTGGGCGCTACGCTGACCAGGTAACAGATATCGGGTTATATAGGGGATATCTCATCTTGCAAAAGCAGATGCGTCTTTGTTCATGTTTGCAAATGTGATTGTAAAAGCTGCTTTTTGAAGTTTTAAAATCTTGCATCAGTCTACAATGTATTTATTGTGATAGTGTAATTGGTTTTGTAAACCCTGATTATCTGATAACAGCTGAACTAACAAAGTTCCTATTTGGTTCAATCCCTCTGTCCCTTGTGGTCATTATCAGGCGAGTGTGTTTCTGGATTTGGGGCAGGGCATCCATGATAACGCACTGCAGGGCTACAATGCCACATTACTGGCATATGGTCAGACTGGATCTGGGAAGAGCTACTCAATGGTTGGTTATGGTCCTAACAAAGGCCTTATCCCCACCCTCTGCGAGAGACTGTTTCAATCTATCAAGAGCATGCAAGATAGCAGGCAGTGTCAGGTTTGTCCATTATATTTACGTAACATCTCACTGTTTTGCCAAATTTACACCGCAAAGCTGGCTTCTGAAGTGGCATTTATGTGTCTTTATACTGACTGGTTAATGCTGCTCAGAGGTGGCGTAAATGCATTTGCACAGCAATGATAACCATATTCTTTGATACTAGGTGGATCAGAGCAGGCTTAATTAAGTCTGGCTTTTATGTATTATGCCTTTGCAAAATATTTTGAGAAGGCACAGAGCAGCCTTAACTTAGCTGTGCCTTTTGAAACAGGAAAAATGGGTGAAAATATTTTGCAGTAATGATTCAGTTTGCTTTTGATTCATATGAAATAATGCAATCATTGTTAAAGTTTGCTCTCAGTTTCTGTGAGATTTGGCTTGGTGTGATTAGGAATTATTTTCAAAACTATACTCAAGACAAGTGAAACTAGAAGGATAAATGACACCATAATGGAATAACCTGTTGACAAATACAGTAGGTTTAACATTCATTAGGATGAACACTTTCTGGTCAAAAAGCAATTATAATCAATTTTGTAATTGATGCAATTGATGTAATTTTCATTGTCAAAACTGTTCACCAAGAAAACAAAAATTAAGTATTTGAATTGCATATCAAATTTCCATTTGGATTACACTGTTTAACATAAACTAATGAACTTAATGTGATGCATATCTGTCAGACGTACTTAAATGAGACAGGTAAGAAACATAATATTTTTGTAATAGAACTAATGAACTGATTGTGCGGAAAAAAACAGGTTTATATAATTATCAATAAATCATATTTGTTTCAGTCTCGGTACATTTTAAGTAACTGAATATGGTTAGCTATATTTTAACCATGTTTATACTTTTTAACTGAATAAAAATGAATACATAAATCTAAATATTGTAAATAATAATAAAAAATGCATACATACAATAATACTGTTAACTGTTATATTTCATAAGAATAAAAACCTCTTTTTAACCAAATACAGGTATTCTTCAGCATGTTGGAAATCTACAACGAACAGGTAGGACTTCATCTTCATCTGATGCTTATGAATTCATGTTTAACTGTTTTGTATTTAATGGTTCGCAAAGTCTAGTCCCTAATTTATTTGTAATCGGTGCATAAGTGTAATATGGATGAAACCGTCTGCTAAATGATGACTAGCTGATGTTTGTCATTATGCAATATTTTACTTGACTTGCATGACACCTCAAACTGTGCTCAGGTTGTAGACCTTCTATCAAAGACCAGCCGATCTGCGGGTGGTCTTCGGGTGCGAGAGGACCAGCAGAGGGGCTTCTACGTGGAGGGGCTGAGGCGGGTGCCCTGCGACAGTGCAGCACAGGTGGAGCAGCTGATGGAGCAGGGAACACGCACACGCACCACGGTGGCCACACACATGAACGCCAACAGCAGTCGCTCGCACATGCTCATCGTCATCCAGCTCAAACAGGTGTCCATTCTACCAAGCATATCTCACGCTAGTCTGAAAATGTCTTTACTGGCATTGTTTACACATGGCATTAACCTGCAATCACTCATTCAGAACACAGCCTATTTACTTGCATTCATCCACATCAATAACCTTTTTTTTTTTTTTTTTTTTTCAGATAACTGATCTGAAATTTTTTCTCTCACACAATATTTGAAATTTAGGGCTATGTGATGAATAGAAAAAATGGTCGCAATTACAGTTAAACAATTAAACTGCAATTAAACAATCATGAAAATGTGTACACATTTCTATTTACTACTACTCCTGCTGTGTCAAAGGTTTCTGTTTACAA